ATTGTGATGTGAAGGTTTATTATTTTTCTTTGAGGTTACCCTGTGATTTATAATGTTCTTCCCAAGTTTAGAACAGTCCATTCTATCTTGCAGTTATCTTGACTTCCCAACCATTTATAAGTTCTGTAACTACACAATTTTTTCCTTCTTTTTGGTTTGTAGTTGTCCTCATTTGCCAATTGATGTCTCTGGTTCCATATTTACAATCTTGTAGGCTTATTTACTTTGGATACTTCCATAACTGGGCTGGTTTCTGGGTTATGGCATTATGTGTGTTAATGGTCAGTTGTTGTCTGCTGTTGCTGGTTCTCTGTCCAAAGGACTCCCTATAGCATCTTTTGTAATATTGGTCTGCTTTTAACAAATTCTCTTAATTTCTGCTTATCTGGCAATATCCTAATTTCACCATCATATTTGAGGGACAATTTTTCTGAGTATATAATTCTTGATTGGAAATTTTTCTCTTTCAGGGTTTTATATATACCATCCCATTATCTTCTTGCCTGCATGGTTTCTGCTGAGAAATCCAAACTCAGTCTTATTGGTTGCCTCTTGTAGGTAACTTTTCATTTATCCCATGCTGTTTTCAGGATTCTTTGTGTGATAGTTGGAGCTGTGTGTCAACTTGGCTGGACCCCAGTTCTGTGTGGTTGTTCCCATGATGGGATCAGATGACTGTGTTCTGAGTGGCCAGTCTGCCCAAGGGGAGTTTCCCTAGGGGTGTGGCCTGCTTCCAAGATATCCAGGGACATCCTGGGAAGAGCCACATTCCTGGAGGAATTGGAATCCTGGTGTGCGGACCACAAACTTCCGTGAGGGAGCAGCCCATCGCTCGACCTGGAGATCTCTAGCGCACTGCCTGCCAGCTTTGAATCTCTCACGCTCCCCCCCACCCCCGTGCTTATGGAAGCTAAGGCTGTTGCCAGCCCATTTTCCTCCAGAGACTTGGACTTGTCGGCTTCTATACACTTGTGAGCTATTTTCCTAAGATAAATTTCTCTCTCTCTCTCTCTCTCTCTAAATATATACATATATATATACTTGCTGGTTTTTGTGTTTCTCTAGAGAACCCAGTCTAACACATTTTGTCTTTGGTTTTGGTGAGTTTGATGATGATAGTCTTATTGATTTTCTTTTAAGGTCTATCCTGTTTGAAGTTCATTGGACTTCTTGAATGGATATATTTGCATCTTGGAAGTTCTGGTGGTATAGAGCCTAAGGGATTTGACTGCTAACCAGAAGTATAGCAGTTCAAACCCACCAGCTATTCCTTGGAAGACTGGGCAACCTACTTCCACAGAGATACCACCTCGAAAACCCAAGGAAGGGTCACTATGAGTTGGATTTGACTCAATGGCAGTGAGGTGGTTTTTTTTTTTTTTTTTTCATCATATTAGGGAAATTTCCTTCCACGAAATCTTTGACCACTTTCTCTGTGGTTTTGTCTCTGGAATTCTGATTACATGTAGGTTATTCCTTTTTATGGTACTCCACATGAACCTTAGGCTTTCTTCATTTTGTTTTGATCTTTTTTTTCTGATTGACCACTTTCCAAAGAAGTATTGAGGTACTTGTCTTCAATCTCACTAATTCTATCTTCCATTGGTTCAATTCTACTTCTTTGCCCAATCAATGTGTTATCTATTTCTAAAAATTTGGTATTAATCTTCTGTATTTCTATCTGTAGATTTTGTATCATTTCTAATTTTTCATTTATTCTGTCATTTTGTTCTTGCATTGGCATTTGAATTTGTTACAGGGCTTTCTCTGTGCTTTCCTCAATTTTGTCATTGTTTTCCTTGATGTGTCTCTCAATCTGTTGGAGATATCTAAATATAATTCTTTTTAATTCCTTATCAGGGAGTTCCAGTGCTGCTTCTTCCTCAGGGATGTGTTCCAATTCTGTATCCTGGTCCCTTGTTTCTCCTGCTTTAGCTTGCTTCTTTGTGTGGACTGTGATGCTGAGTTGTCTCCAAGACATTGTGGTGTTTTTATGTTTATGTTTAATTGGTGATTATATATTGGAATGATTTGCCCAAGATTTTAATTTTCTTTTTTTGTTTGGATGTTGTCTAAGTAAGCAGGGTACTGTGCTCTTCTATTAGCTAGTTGGCAGCAGTTATACACTCACCACCTGTCTCCTTTCCCATTGTCAGTCTCACATATGTCCTTGCCATCCTCAGCAAGCAGAGCCTATTCTTAGGTCCCTGGAATCCAAATGAGAATGTGGTCACTTTAAATATCCAAAATGGCTGCCTGTTGTAAACAATCAAAATGGCTGAGCTCTTTATACAGCCAAAAGTCCACAGCTCAGGTTGTCTTCCTCTTGCTGTTTCCTTTGCTAGTCATCAGCCACCAGTGCAGTTGTCCCTTCAGCCCTTGGCAACTAGGGCTGATCTTTAGGTCAAGCCTCTGGTCCTAACACCACTTGTAAATATTCAGGTTTTTGGTGCCATCAGAATAGCTGACAGTCAAAAGCTTTGTCAGTCTCCATACCCACTGTTTTCATTCAGGTTCTTCCACTAGTTGGTGCCTAATCCACTTCTGTATACTTCCTTTCAAAACTCAGGGCTCCAGGATTATCATCTGTATCTCTGTCAGTTGGTTTCCCTTTTCTTTGTTGAAGAGGGTCTGTGTAGCTCATTTGCCTATTCTGCCATCTTACCAGAAGTACCTATCATTCTCTTTTACCAATAAGCAAAACTCAATTCAGAAAACTTTGGCTTTAGCCATACAGCTAATCAATGGTGGAGATCAATTCAAAACCAGAGCTCTTGGACTCCAGAGTCCCCTTGCTTAGCCTGTGCAATGCCATCTCTCCACCAACAGGGCCAAGAGAGAAAGCCAGAGACAAGTGAGGGACTGTTGGGTGCTCCAGGCAGAGGTAGACAAACACAGCTGGCAAGATTTGGTGACAGACTAGATGTATAGTTTTTGTCCCCCTAATACTTATAAATGTTAGATTATAACAAAATTATGACCTGTTCATTTGTATATTCTGCTTTTGTCTAACTCTTGGTATGTAGATGATCTAATTGGGTTCTATATAGTCATACTGATAGTGGCAGCAGTAAGGAATACAATATAAAGGTATCTGCAAAAGTCAAGAGGTTGAGGACAGGAGAGGAAGTAAGAAGGCTTAGAGACATCTTGAGTGAATATTCTTTCCAGGGTCTCAGATCCACTTTATTTGAAGGGAAATGCTGTAGTTGCTAAGCCTCCTCACCCAGTGAGCATCAACTAAAGGTGCTTTATGAGGTAGAGGTGCAGTGGGTGGGGCCTTGTCAGAGGGGAAGGAAGAGAAAAGTCAGTTATTTAGGCTGTGTCCTTATGCCAAAACTACAAAGCATTTTAAGTGTCTCTGGGTGACACATACGGTTTGAAAGTTGACAACTAACCTAAAGGTGGGCAGTTTGTGACCACTCGGTGGCACAATAGAAGAAAGGCCTGGCAATCAGCTTCTGTAAAGATTGCAGCCAAGAAAATCCTGTGACGCAATTCTACTCTGTAACACATGGGCTCACCATGAGTTGAAATCAACTGACAGCAACAGATTTAGGTTTTTTTTTTTGGTTGTTATTTGTTTGTTTACTTTATACTGAGCTATTTACAACAGAAATTTCTTAATTAACTATTCTTACTAAGAAACTTGGTGAATCCCAGTGACTAAGTGCCCTGACAGAATAAAGCAACCTTTTCTGCTGATTAAAATCCTAGTCATCCTTCAAAACCTAACTTAATACCATCTCCTTCACAGACTTTCTGTGATTGCTAGAATCAGTGTCTCCTCTGGACAGTCACAGTATTTTGCCTAGAAGACCCTGGGCTTGGCTTATGTAGTGGAATGTGGTCAGGCTCAGTCCTGGGCTCTCTTCCCATTCTACATGTTCTCCTCAAGTCAGTGATCTCTACTTTTCTTTCTATCTCCAGTGTTGATTTTTTTCTCTGAACTTCAGAACTGCTGAGTTGACTCAGTCCCCCTATCTAGGTAGCTAAAAGTACATGATGCTTAATACATCCAAAATGGCACATCTTCCTTCAAACTGTGGTTCATTTTCATTGCTATGAGATTTACTGGAGAGCAGTGCCATCCATCTGCACTAGGTCGAGTCAGGTACTGAGTTACTGTGACATCCTCTTTACCATTAGCACCCATAACCATCCTCTCAGTAGAAGCCACTATCATGTCTGTCTCATACCACCCCAGCAGCCACCAGCTTGCCTTTCTGCTTCCACTCTTGGCCTGCCCCAACCTGTTCCTTCACAGCAGTCACAGTGTCATCCCCTGCCTAAAACTCTTTCTTGGTCCAAGGCCCTGACCACCTCTCCAGACTCATCCTGGACCACTTTCCCCTCATGAATTCAACAAATGCATCACCTGTTTATGACTTCAGCCTTTGCAGATATTAATCCCTTTGTCTAGAATGCTCTCTCTTCTCTTTATCTGGCTAATTTCTACTTACTCTTTTAAGCTCAGCTGCAATTTCCTTTCCAGAGCCCACTCCTCTCTAATTATGGCCACTCACAGTTCTCATTATGATTACATTTCCATGGCACTCTTATTGTCTGTCATAACCTTGGTACAATTGTGATTTAGTAGTCAATGTGGAGCTCACCTCAAGGACATACATCTTTGTTTATCAGTGTGCCTCAGAAGCTGAAAGAGTCCCCAACACATAATAGGTGCTCAGTAAAATTTGCACAATGAGTGATCAAGGGACAGAACCTTAGCTCTGCCTTTTACCAGCCACAGGATCCTCAGAGTCCTGATTTGTAAAGCTGAGTTTATAATGCCTGCTCATGCTTGCTTCACTCTCATAGTGAAGTAGTGAAAGCACCTAGGAAGATGCTAAACTATCCTGGGGAGTAGCGGGCTCAGTGAAGTCTTTCCAGAGGGGATGACACTTGGTCTGGGTCTGAGAACAAAGGATATAGAGGAGGCGGCATAGCCTGCACAGGTGCATTCAGCAGGTGTACCCCACAAGCACTAGACTACCCACCTTGTAGGCCTTGCAGGCGGAAGGTGCGGTGTTCCACTGAAAGGCCAAGTGCGCTATATGGCCCATAGCGCAGGTAGACAACGTTGTTCTCAGGTGTGGCCTGCATACCTGCCTGCTGTTGGCCGCATCCACTGGTAACTGGCAATAGGAGCTATTAGGACAGCTCTTTTGGCCCTTGGGCTGATTGGGTGTGGTCAATGCAGGTGGGCGTGTCCATGTGTGTGTGTGTGGGGAGGGTTAGGGTGTGTCTCAGGCATACTCCTACCCCAAATTCACTGCTGATTTTCTCCAGGATCTTCTTTCCAAGTTGCTTGCACAACTTACTGTGCCAGTGACTGTGGGTAGAAAAAATCAGGTGGTTTCTGCTGAGTTGATTTCAGGCCCTCACAGCTAGGTAAATGCTATTTCCACCTGAAAGTGTTCTGATACTCCTCTGTTAATCTGTTGTACTGTAGTGCCTTGCCAGCAGGGTCACCCATGGTGGACAGGATTCTGCAGAGTTTTCAGACTGAGACCTTAGTCTCAGTCTTTTCCTTAGAAAAGGACCTGGTGATTTACTTAAAAAAAAATTGGGCAGTGAAAACTTTATGAATAGTAGCAGAACATTGTCTCACACAGAGCTGGAAAATGAGCACCTCAGTTTGGAAGGCACTGAAAATCCGACTGGGGAAGAGCTACCTCCTCAAAGTAAAGTGCACCTTAATGTTGTGAATGGAGAACAGCTCTTGGACCTTCTTCTGCTGATGTGGTAGGAATTAAAATGGGACAGCTGCAAACATCCATTAAAAATTGGAACATTGAGTGTACAAAAGAAAACTGGAAATTGTAAAAAATGGAACACATAAAGATTGGTATCCTAGGCATTAGTAAGCTGTAATGGACTGGTATTGGACATTTTGAATGTCACATGCATATGGCCTACCATGATAGGAATGACAAATTGAAAAGGAATGGCATCACATTCATTGTCAAAAGGAACATTTCAAGATCTATCCTGAAGGACAACTGTTAGTGATAGGATGATATCCATTTGCCTACAAGGAAAATCAGTTAATATGACTGTTATTCAAATTAATGCACCAACCACTAATGCAACAGATGAGGAAATTGAAGATTTTTATCAACTTATGCAGTCTGAAATTGATCAAACATGCAGTCAAGATGCATTGATAATTACTGGTGATTAGAATGTGTTTGTAGGAACAAAGAAGGACCAGTAGCTGGAAAATAGGGCCTTGGTGATAGAAACAACACTGGAGATCACATGATAGAGTTTTCTAAGACCAATGACTTATTCACTGCAAATAACATTTTTCAACAACATAAGTGGCGACTATACATGTAACCCTTGCCAGATGGAATACACAGGAATCTAGTTGACTACGTTTGTGGGAAGAGAAGATGGAGAAGCTCGATTCTATTAGTCAGAACAAGACCAGAGGTTGATTGTAGAACAGACCATCAATTGCTCATCTGCAAGATCAAGTTGAAGCTAATGAAAATTAGAACAAGTCCACAAGAACCAAAGTACAACCATGAATATATCCCACCTGACTTTAAAGACCATCACAAGAATAGATTTGATGCATTGAATACTAATGACCAAAGACCAGACAAGTTGTGGGATGACATCATGGAGATCATACACGAAGAAAGCAAAAGGTCATTAAAAAGACAGGAAAGAAAGAAAAGACCAAAATGGATTTTAGAAGACTCTGAAACTTGCTCTTGAATGTAGAGTAGCTGTCTTAGTTCTCTGTAATAGAAATATCATGAGTGGATGGCTTCAGCAAACAGAAATTTACTTCTTTACAGTTTAGGAGGCTAGAAGTCCAAATTCAGAATGCTGGCTCTAGGGGAAGACTAGGCTAGAAGTCCAAATTCAGAGTGCTGGCATTAGGGACTGGGTGGAGACTGGCATTAGGGACTGGGTGGAGACTCCTTGATCGCTCTGCTTTCCAGGCCCAGTGGAGCAAGCTGGAGGCTTGTCCTGACTCATGCAGCTGCTGACTGCTGAGGCTGATGAATCCAAGATAAGCAGGTAAAATGGCAGATTGTTGGCTCACAAGCTGCAATGGAAATAGTCCCAAGATTGACAGGCCACTGGATTGAGTCTAGGAACTGGAGATGAAGATTTAACCAAATGCAGAATCTTTTCCACATATACTGGAAGCAGGCCACACCCCAAAGGCAGCTATCCTTCAACTGATTAACTACTCACAGCAGATCCCACAATGGAGGTGGTTACACCACATCCAATCTCATCATGAGGAATAACTACATCCAGCTGCCAAACCATTCAAAATCATGGCCCAGCAAAGATGACACACAACCTTAACTACTATAGTAGCTAAAGCAAATGGAGGAAATGATGAAGTAAAAGAGTTGAACAGAAGATTTCACATGGTGGCTTGAGAAGACAAAGTAAAGTATTATAATGAAATATGCAAAGACCTGGAGTTAGAAAACCAAAAGGGAACAATATATTTGGCATTTCTCAAGATGAAAGAATTGAAGAAAAAATTCAAGCCCTGAGCTACAATTTTGAAGAATTCTATGGGCAGAATATTGAATGATGCAGGAACCCTCAAGGAAAGATGGAAGGAATAAACAGAGTCACGGTACCAAAAATAATTGGTCAACATTCAACCATTTCAGGAAGTAGCATATGATCAAGAACCAATGATATTGAAGGGAGATGTCCAAGCTTCATGAAAGCATTAGAAAAAAAACAAAGCTTTAGGAATGGATGGAATACCAATTGAAATGTTTCAATAAACAGCTATAACGCTGAAAGGACTTACTTGTCTATGCCAAGAAAATTGGAAGACAGCTACCTGGCCAACAAACAGGAAGAGATCTGTATTTATGCCCATTCCAAAGAAAGGTGATCCACCAGAATGGGGAAAGTATTGAAAATTATCATTAATATCACATGCAACTAACATTTTGCTGAAGATAAATGCAAAAACAGTTGCAACCATACATTGACAGGGAACTGCCAGATATTCAAGGTAGATTCAGAAGAGGATGAGGAACAAGGGATATCATTGCTAATATCAGATGGATCTTGAGAACACCAGAAAGATATTTACCTGTGTTTAGTTGACTATAGAAAGGCATTTGACTGTGTGGATCATACCAAACTTTGGGTAACATTCTGAAGAATGGAATTCCAGAACACTTAATTGTGCTCATGAGGAATCTGTACATAGACCAAGAGACATTCATTCAAACAGAACAGAACAAGAATGTTTTGGTTATCTTTGTGCCACTCTAACAGGTAATACCACAAATGGGTAGAATGGTTTTAACTAACAGGAGTTTATTCTCTTACAATTTTGGAGGCTAGAAGTCTGAGTTAAAGCCCCTCAATCTTGGGCTTTAGCTCTCCCTCTTGCTCCCAGCCCACTGGAGCTGGAGGCTTTCTTCACTCAGGCAGTGCTGGCTGCTGAGGCTGGCAAACCCAAGGTCAACAAGTAAAAAGGCACAGTCCTGATATTACCACACCACATTGCAGGCCATTCACTCAAATCCATTAAGAGTCCCAAGACTGGCAGACAACAAGGCAGGCTACTGAATAACAACTTGGCTACATGCAGGATTCAAGTGTGCCAAAAGCTGCAGACCATTCCTAAATCTTCTCCCTATATACTGGGAGCAGACCACATCCCTAAAGCAGCTACTCAACTGCTCACAGAAGATTCCACCATGGAGTTGATGATGAGTCTCATCATGGGGAACACTATATCCAGCTGTCCAGCCACTCAAAACCAGTTCCAGCCAACTTGACACATAACCTTAATTACCACAAAGAGGATATTGCATGGCTTAAAATCAGAAAAGGTATGGGTCAGGGTTGTATCTTTTCACTAGTTAAATCTGTATGCTAAGCAAATAATCCAAGAAACTAGACTATATGAAGAAGAATGTGGCATCAGGACTGGAGGAAGACTCACTAATAACCTATGATATGAAGATGACACAACCTTGCTTGCTGAAAGTGAAGAGGACTTGAAGCATTTACTGATGAAGATCAAAGACTACAGCCTTCAGTATGGATTACACCTTAACATAAAATGAAAATCCTCACAACTGGACTGATAAGCAACATCATGATAAATTGAGAAACTACTGAAGTTGTCAAGGATTTCACTTTATTTGGATCCAAAATCAATGCTCATGGAAGCACCAGTCAAGAAATCAAATGTCATCTGCACTGGGGAAATCTACTGCAAAAGACCTCTATACAGTGTTAAAAAACATAGATGTCACTTTGAAGACTAAGGTGCATCCAGCCCAAGCCATGATATTTTCAGTTGCCTCAAATACATGTGAGAGCTGGACAATGGATAAGGAAGAACAAAGAGGAATTGATGCCTTTGAATTATGGTATTGAATTGACTGCCATTGACTGCAAGAAGAATGGACAAATCTCTCTTGGAAAAAGCACAGCCAGAATTCTGTTTAGAAGCAAGGATCATAAGACTTTGTCTCATGTGCTTTGGACATGTTAGCAGGAAGGACCAGTTTCTGGAGAAGGACATCATGTTTGGTAAAGTAGAGAATCAGCAAAAAAGAGGAAGACCCTCAACAAGATGGATTGGCACGTAGCTACAACAGTGAGCTCGAACATGACAATTGTGGGGATGGCACAGGATCAGGAAGTGTTTGGTTCTGTTATACATAGGGTTGCTATGAGTTGGAGGTGACTTGAGGGCACCTGACAACAACAACATGGTGCTAATGATGATAGCAACAATAACCAACATTTACAGACCAGTAACTTATGTGCCAAGTAACATACTGAGCTCTTCCCATGTTATTTTTGTTAGATGTTGTCGAGCCAATTTCAAATCACTGTGTCTCTGTGTGTCAAAGTAGAACTGTCCTATAGGGTTTTATAGACTGTAATCTTTATTGGAATAGATCACCAGGTCATTCTCCCATGGAACTGCTAGGTAGGTTTGAACATTTGTTATTTTCAATTTTTTGTTTTAATATTAGCTATCCTAGTAGGAGTGAAGTGGAATCTCTGTGGTTTTGATTTCCATCTTTCTGATGGTTAATGATGTCGAGCATCTTTTCATGTGTTTGGTCACCATT